GCTCGAACTCGACTTGGATTCTGTCGACAATTTATTTCGAAAGATGTATAACCAAGTTAAAACGGCAATCTGGTGCCGTAGTGGGAAGTATTTAATGTCCGCCATGACGTTGTGCCACTTTGTGATCGTGACGGTCATGTCGAACAGAGAAGCCACTGAAAACGCAGCCCGGGAAGCCGCACTACAAGCAGCCGAAAACGCTCCTACTGCCATGGCCGATGTGGCAGCCGAGGCCGTAACGAAGTATATGAAAATGGAAAACCAAGCCAAGGACTTCGGTGCCCTAGCCCAGACGGACAATCCAGACGAGGCGTTAGAAATTGGCACAACTATCCACGAAAAGGGTTTGCAAACCGCTCAAGACGAAATCAGAAAGGACGCCGTTGAAAAAGGAACCAAAATAATGATAGGCAAGGCGGCCAAAGATAAAGCGAAAGATGTTCTCGGGAATACAAAATTCAAAAAAGACTTCGTTGCCAATGAGTTTAAGCGTAAGACCGCGGAAGAGAAACTGGAGCTCAAGACTAAGTTTAAAAAGCCGGTGCCTTCGGTGGTCGAGGAACCTCCTGTCGAAGAAATAGAAAACCTCGAGGACCTGCTGATCGCATTCGCAGAAAAACCGACAGACGCCCAAACCGATGCCGAGGACCGCACAAAAATGTTAGAAAGAGTAGCCGGTAAAGCAGCCATGAGAAACCGTAAGCTGGTTGTTAGAGACTCTGTTGCTGTGACCAAGGAAAGTATAATAACCGTCATAGAAAACATGAAAACGTGGTTGAACATGGAAGACAAAGGATTCGATTTTATTACGCAGCTGCAAGTAAAAATCAGTAACCTCGGCAAATCCAAAATAGACCTGGTGGAATTGTTAAAAACGGAATTAAATATTTTGTTGAATCTTTATTATCAGGACTGCGATCCGACTATAGAAATAGAAAAAATTTACGAAGAATTCAATGAAGAAACAACGGCAATAATTAACGACGAAGGAGAACATTCCGTAGAATCTCTCTTGATCAGAATTACCAAGTTGCATAGTGGCTTAAAACTCGAACTTGATGCTTTGCCCGGTCATTGGAAGAAACTTGACTACATTTTCAGTTCAACTGATGTTACCATAACTTAATCACACAGATTTTAGAGAAAAAAAAACAAATTTTTTGGCCTTTGTTTTAGTATAAACTAACATTTTGTTGTACACTATTAACCAGTCAATAATAATAAATAAAAAAAAACATTTACTAATTTCATTTTATTGCAGTTTTATTTGTATACTAAAATATATTCTCGAGTAGCATTGAAATATTACTTGTATACTGAAAAATTACAGCAGTTTATACATTTAATAAAAATTACATAATCTAAATGCGTGAAAGGTTAACAGATATGGAAAATAGGATTTTGGCTATAAGTCACCATTGGTTTTGATTATTTTCTGAATAAGAAATATCGTTATTAGTCATCATAAATGAGTTAGACCAGACGATAGTAATCATAGTGCATTAATAATCGTATAACTGTTTAGTCGATTTTTCCGCTTCAACATACATGGTGCTGTTCACTTAACAAAATCTGTACATTAACGTGTTAAAATCGTACTGTGATTGGCCTTCATAAGGCTTCAGTATTTGAAATGAAGTTTTCCGAAGCCATTTAATTTTAGAGTTCCTCAATAATTGCATTTCCAACTAAAAATTATTTATTTCCTGTATACAGTCTAATTTGTTAAATAGTGTTTTGTGTAACGTTAAAAATACCGTGACCTTTTCTTATATCGTCGTTACTTTTTTTTTTTAAAGTTAAATGTTTCATTATGGAGTAAAATTAATGTCTAAGTAATCTGGCAAAAATATATTTATTAAGCTTGGTAGCTGGTATATATAATATAGTGTAAAAATGCAACTCCTCTCTTGAAACTCCGGATTTGAGCATATTTTCTCACGAGCACTTGAATTGCCTACAAAATGCGCCGGGTAAGATACCTTGTGACATACATTATTGGCTTAAGTTCAATTTAAATGCTCCGTACATGATAATTAGTACGTAAAGTTTGTTTATCGTTGGTATCTTTGTTGCTAAGTAATTTGTTTTGACCATTTCTTATAATATTTCAAATAAAATTTTTAATTTAAAAATAATGATTTACCTATTCAACCAAACGATTTGGGTTGACCATCTAAGTCCTCTTTTGTCACTAGTGTTGGAAAAATCAAATCCATGTTCAACGTTTACACCCAACAATTTTGTCTGTAACGCGAAATTTAAAAATTTCGATTTATACTTATGTATAACGAGGATAAATCATAGAGGGGTGGAAGAAATCTTTGGGAATTATAATAACTGAGGGTGATGCAGGGGTCTGTATAATGTTAAGGGTAAAATTTAAATTGACATTAAGACAAACTCCAAGAGTTAAAAAAGACATGTACAAATGTAAATGTATATTAAGATTTGTGATCGTTATAGTATACAATATTAACGGAAATCGGAATTATCGGTTTACATGATGTTTTCACTCTCGGAGTTAATCACCGTCCTCATTTCAAATGTGTAATAACTAATTTAAATTTGGTTAATCTGAATTAGGGTAATGTCTTTCAACCATTAATAAGATAAGTGTTTACGTAGTCTTAACTCCGAGCTTCAAATATATCAGATTAAGCTAAATCGGGTTTAAGTACTGAACTAAGCTACATTCAGTTCAGAGTTAAGTTAACCATACATGTGAATGTAGTAAAAAATACTTAGTACTTTCGACATAATTCGTTCCGTGACTGCATGCGACTTAGATCAATTCACTTTAGCATTTTTGGTTAACATGCATCTATTTGTTATCACGGATTAAGATTTAATTCCATATAAGGAATTTAATTAAATAATACATCAATTATTCATTATGTATTATTACATTATGAACGTAGTAGTTGGTACAGGGATTACACGGGGTTTTAGACATTTAATTCTATAAAACCGCTTTCATGAGAACATACATATTATGGCTTATAGTTACAAAAAAACATAGCATAATCGTCTAAATACTGATAGTATTAAATTGTTTAAGACAATTTGGTATAGAAGGCGTTTAGAACTCTAACGTTTGTTTTTTGTTTAAAAAGTGTGCAAAAGTCATACAACGAAATTTTATATTTGATCAAATATTTGTTTAGTCTCTTGAAATACAGTCTTTTCCACAATGATTGTTGCAATGTAAATATGTAATAACAGATATCTGCCGAAAGACAAACAATAATATCATAAAAGGCCGTTATAATATTTTAAAAAAATGTTTGTTGTTTTGCACTACATTATTTATCATTTTTAAGAAGACAAAACATCCTATCAATCTTCATATTATTAACACTTTTAATCTTAATAATCTAATAATAATTGATATGGTTCGTAAAGGCGCACAACATGATAGACAAAATCCAAGTGGTTTATGAAAACCTTATATTTAATTTTTTGTTAACTTCAATTGAAATTTGTTTTAAGATTCAGTCTTAGACTTCTATTTTAACTGTAATATAGTTAGAATATTAAAACACATTGTTTTGTTTAAATTATTTCTAAAATTTTAGTCTAGGAATGAATATTTTTTATACTAGTATAGGAAAAACATGATTTTTAAACGAAATTTTTACTGAAATTCAATATTAACACCATCATTTTACTATTACCATTGCTTATTTAGAATACGCAGACAAGCAATGCTGTATACAAGAACGGCAACCGATTTTATGCAGGATCCCCGCAGTCAACAGGAGTACCCTCGTCATAGTTTACCACCTACCTGTCCATAAACTATCACGAGGGTACTCCTGTTGACTGCATGAATTCGACATAAAGTCGGACACCGTTCTTGTTTATAGCACCGCTTGTCTGTGTATTTTAAAAACAAAATGTTACTGCTTTATTAATATTTAGAATATGTTCACATAGCAGACATCAATGTTTGTTGCTTTAATAACAAGCTCTGAATCAGATAAAATAATCAATTAATTGTTAAACGATGCGTCTACGTATAATACAATAAAAACTCCAATGATAGGTAATGTTACTAGTTACATATTAGAATTTAGATACTGTTCGTATAAAATGCTGGGCAATATTGAAATTAGGATTCTAAATTTTAAATGTGCATTCAAAAATGACTTTGTGTTATAGGTATGCAAGTATTAACATAAATGTTAATAAAACTGTAAATAGTTAATTTAATTTCATATCGTGATCGCCAAAGCCTTTAATTATATTATGCTTAATTCAGTTATAACGGTTATTATTCGTTTACAAGTTTTTTTTTAAACTAACTCAGTTTATCATTATCCTTATTTCAAGTGTGTATTATCTAATTCAAATTAGGTGAAACTAAATTACAGTAAAGTTATTTAACGAAATAGTTAACTGTTTCAGATTAAATTTAAACGGATTGAACCACTGAACTAAACTGAATTCTGTTCAGTAAGTTCAACACACATGTATGTTCAAAAGCAACTACATACAATATAAATTTCCGACAATTATGCTTGGATTTATAAACTTCAAAACTTAGTAAAACATACAATCAGGAAATTAAAATTTTTTTTAGAAATATGCATTTTTAGTACTTTAAGTATCAAGTGAGTTTAACCACGTTAACACACGGTAATTAAAATCAACTAAATGAGCATTAATTTAATGCATACAGGTATAATAGGTACATATCTCCTTAACACCCAATATAGTTTAGAGCTGTAATCAAACTTCTGTGAAGCTTTTTTTTATCTTAAGGTTTTATTTTTTAATGCTGTAGTATTGACTTAACCTTAGTAAGTATTTGTAATATTATACCTAATATAGATTCAATCAATCTTATAGATTTGATAAGAAAATACATTCATTAAAGCTGTACCATAAAATTTGTAATACTACTAATAGTAAAGCCGTCAAATCTTTATATTGATTAACTATATTAGTTTAATGGTATTACAGAATACAAAATTATCTGTTGTTTAACTGTTTTTTTATTTTCACTCAAACGTGTATATTGATATATTATTGTATATATTGTATATTGTATATATAATCTATTGTAAAACACAGGTAAATAAAACACAATTTTAGTTTTACAATGAAAGAAATATTAAATATGCTCTTCCGTACCTGAAACATAACATTATTATTATTATTATTACAATTCGTACAACTATATACGTATTTAGTATATACAAACAAAAGGTGCAAAACTAAGGGGAGATCACAGGTCTTTACTCTTTAGGAAATGTTATAACTTATAGCTGAAAGTGACATAATCACATAAAAAATTCCAATGTTTAGAAATAATATATACATTAACAGAATTAAAAAAATAACTTCAAATTTAATAAATGTAGTTATTATTGTGTTATTAATTTTTTTGTGTTTATCCATAATTTAGATGTCTACTCCAAAACATTATAGTCAGATGCCTCTTGTAATCTTAACAAACACTTAATTATTTATTAACAATTTAATTTGAGCATTTTTCAATGTTGGATATAAGCTATTTTTTAATAGAGGGTCCAGCAAAATTTGTCATTATTTGAATACATTATAATTTAAATAAAAAATGAACTATTCCATTATTTATTCATTCATGCAAAAACAATGTAATTAAATCAGATAAATTCTGGTATTATATACAGTATATTATTTACCTTCAGTTTGCCCTGACTTTTCGGCCTCGTCTAAAACAATATATAAGTATATTTTCAAAGTGATATAATATTATTATAATACAGTGTTTAGCCATAATTTAGATGTCTATTTCAAAACATAACATTCTGATGTCTGTTTTCACTTTAACTGTTTTATTTAACTTCTATTTGTCCTGACGTGAAGTACTCTTCTAAAATAATTTATGCGTACTTTAAAATTGTATAATCATTTTTAAAAAACAAGAAAGCCGCCTATATGGTTTTGTAATATATTATTCTATTACTAATATAGTTATTTTTCAATAACAAATTGAATTTATGACACAACTCGGTAACGTATCTATGTGTCCTTTATTTATTCGTTCATTTAAATTTTAATCACGATTAAATTTCATTTTTACTTATAATTAAAAAGGGTTTGTGAACGGAGTATGAAAAAGGGTAGTTGTTGCTGACATTTATTGCTGTTTTGAAATTAATATTTGTTTGCTAGATTCTCAGTTTTTGATTTTGAAAATCAACTTTTTTAATACCCATTTCTATATTAACTATAATGTCTTCCTAAGAAAATGTAGAGGGAAATTATTTTTGGAAAAATCAAGAATAGATCACCAGTTGCTGAACCCGTACTAAACACTAACCATAACATAAACTCAGTTCAATTATTAAAAACCGTTAAAACCTATTGAGAATTAAAAATTAGAAAAGCCATTGAGATGTCAAAAAATAAAGAAAGTTTGTAAATTGGGACTTATCCGCCGATTATCGCCGCTATATAAGGAGGATGTATTGCCGATGTGTCTTCAGTGTGCGGTTAGCGCTGATGATGGCAGCATAGTCGCCGTAATATATGTATATACGCTAATGAGTATATTTTTATTGTGGCTAGGGTTTATTCATAATTGTATAATTAAAACAGATAAATCCTGGTGTTATACATTGTATATTATTTACCTTCTGTTTGCCCTGAATTGTCGGCCTCATCTGAAATAATTTAAGACTACTTAATAATCATATAATATTTTTTAAATAATATTAAAGCCTATATTACAATATTTAGTCATAACTTAGTTATAGAATCTCTTTGAACTAAGACACTTTTAGGAAATTAAAACTGACAAATCTTGGTGTCATACGTTGTATATTATTTACCTTTCCCTGACTTGCCGGCCTCGTCTGAAATAATTTATGAGTACTTTAAAACCGTAAAATATTTTTTAAATAATAATAAAGTGGTTAGCCATAATTTAGTTTTAGAATAGTACCTACTCTCTATGGATTTCTACGGATCAATATAAAACGAGTACATCGTGTTACAAATATTATCGAACGAATTCACTCAAGTTCTTAGGCGGCTACCAGTTCCACACATTAAAAACATTTGGTATTTTATTCCCAGGTTCAAACCGGACAAAAGAATTCTGAGGTTTTAATGTCTCCAATACAAGACACAAAAGTTAATGATATTTTGCGATTGGACATTTTAACAGAGAACTTTCGCTTCCTTTCCAACGTTTACCATTATTCTCTTTGATCTTATATTATTCATTTTTGTAAATAACATTATGTTCAATTAAATACAAGTAAATAACGGTAGCGTTCATACAGCTTCAACACTTCTCTCATACAATTATTACAAATATTTCCTTACAATACATTTTCTATGGAACAAGTTTTTTAGGGGTTTTCAAGAAAATGTATACTGTTATAGATTTTAGTTTAGTCAACTAATTTAAGGGTAAATAGAAATTATTAATTTGCATGGCTCTCTAAAAGTGCCCCACCAATAATTTGAAAAATTAAAATGTTATGTCATATAAATTCCTCTTTGGGAAAAATGTTACCCCACTATCGTTTCTACTTTATAATAGATTTTTCTATTAGCAATATAGAAGTATAATATACTACTCAGTACTACCATTTTTTCAATAACAAATTAAATTTATAAGCACAACTCGGTATACCCGTTATTTATTCGATAATATAATCTCGACTAAATTACATTTTTACTCGTGATCAAGAAAAGTTTTGGAAACGGTATAACGGAAAAACGCAGGTGGTACAGAGAATTATCGCTGCTTTGAACTTTATATTTATATGCTAGACTCTTAATTTACAAAATCACCTGTAACCAATTCTGTTGACTCATATTCGTCTTCACTATTTATTTCATCGATGTGTTCTGAATAAATCGGGGTTGTCTTCACACGGTCTTGTATCAAAGTAATCCGACAAATCTCTCCATCACATTTAGCTGTATAAATGTTAAACACATCCGGCAGTGCGTCTAAAGTTTTTTGTAAGCCCATCAATATACATTTCGTCGAATCCGGATTACACATTTGTATTGTTTCTATAATAAAGATATTTGTTGTCAAAAACAACTATTGTTTAAAAAAAAACCGATACCGGTTAAATCATTTATTAAGTTATTTACTGTGTTGTAATATTTATGTATAGACAAAATATAAATTACATTAAATTATGTTTTAAACAAAATTTACTTCTATTATTCTTTTCTGTTTTTATGTAATCATTTAATGCTGTTTTGCGTTCCGCCATGGCACTGATATAATCGCTTTTATCTATATAAGAACGTATAAGTGAATATATCAACTTTATTTTAAAGAAAACATTGTATAGTTTGATTATATTTACTTGCGGATTCTTGCCTTATTTGTTCTATAATTTTTCAACAAAAAAAATGTATATATAATTATAAATTGTATTAAGATATTATGTAAAATTGTACATTAGAACTGTTACTCTTACGTACACTTTAAATCAATTAATTTAATTAAATAAAAATTTACATTAACTAATTAACATCTATATATATATTGAATGTTTTACAATCAGCATATTCGATTATTTAATTTATGAAATAAATTATATTCTTCTAAGTGAACTCTTAGTAAGTACGTACTATTCATTTGCTTGGTAAAGTATACGTAACGTTCCTTCTTCTCCATTTTCTCTACATCTTTATCGTCTAAAGATATAATTTGCCCATTAAATATTTGAATCATTGTTACTATTAGATTGTATTATGTTTGAAAAATAAATTATAATGCTAAAAAACTTTTAAAAAAACAATACTTTTTTTTAGTTGGTTTTCTTTGAAACCTGAAATTAAATTATAATGATTGCATATTAATCGGAGTTGATATGGTATGAGCAATTTATAAAAATTACAATATAATAATTTTAAAAAAATGTATTACCCACAACATCACGTATAAATTTTTGAATTTTCAATTCTTTCTTTAGTCTTCCAGATGAATTGTCATTTCCTAAAATTAATGTTGTGTACCTGACATATTATTATGTTACACTACCATTTTAATATAATACATATATATATATATATATATATATATATATATACATACATACAAAAAAAGGTTAAAGTAGGAATATTATGTAATTAGATAACACATAAAAACGAGTATATTACCATTTGGAATAAGAGTTTTAGTAAATACTCCTGCAAAAAAAAAAATTATAAAATATATATACTCGCATACATTTTTAAAGATAACTATATTTATAATAAGCAGGATAAGAATTTTTAAACTAGGAGTCCTCTTATAAACATAACGTTAACCTTAGAATTATATACAAACCACTTATTCCCTTGCAATCTTGAATCAAAAGATTGGTTATCTCCTCAATTTTGTCTATAAAAACAATAATGTTATTTACAAATAATGTTAATTAAACTATAAAAAAATGTATAAATGTTTGATCGAATGTGTCAAGAAATGTCATGTTTGTTTGAAAATATTATTTCCCGTTTAATAATTAAAAAATCTATTTTTTAATTGTTTTTATAAATATTAGATTTCCCATCAATATCAAGACAATTATTAAAAAATATAATATTGTTCAGTGTTATATTATTAAAATATTTTAATAATTATTATTGTCGTCGTTTAGATATATTTTAATCGTATTGGAATAACACCGGTTTACCTTCTTCTGATATAAGAGTATTAAAATTCATGTCTAAAACAGAAAATAATAATAAATAGTTACAATTAATCATCAAATTTAGAACGATTTTCTTTTATTAAATAAAAAAATAATAACAAACCACCAAATCGTTTTAACTCGTGTTCCTTAATTTTTCCATTCCAATTTTTATTACCTTCTTCTATAAATTTAAATTATATTTTAAATATAATTATTATTAGTTAAGGTGATTTTTAAACTAGACAAAATATCATATATTTACTTCTAGTTACTGTTAAAGCTTTAAGCATGATATCTGAAACAGGCCGTTCAATTAATTATTTAAATTTATAAATTATAAATGTTATCTTTATGTGGGTTATGTACAGTGTACTTCTTTTTCATCTTCGTCTTACACTCTCAACTACAGATGGGTCAGCCAGCCTAGTATTACACCTTTATAGAGCTCGATTTTCTACATCTCCTTCAACCACCCAAGCTATCCTCATATCACTCTGTATTCCATCTATCCACCTTTTCTTCGATCTTCCTCTTCCTTTCCTTCCTTCTATACTCATTTTCATAACAACTCTCACTGTCTCTGCCTCGCCTGTCCTCATAACATGACCGAACGATCTCAACCTATTTTCTCTCATATTCCTCACAATTGATGCAATTCCTGGACTCCCTATTATGTATTAATTTATTATTCTAACCTACCTAGTCACTCTACTCATCTTAGCATTCTCATCTCCGCTACACTAAAATTTTCCGTTTTGCCACACACGCTCTTCACGCTCTTCACCCTTGTACTTTTTCTCTGTTACTTTCACATACATCTTCGGCACTCCTTTTACCTTAACGTCCACCTCAAAACCTCTCTGGGAACTCTATCATATGACTTTTCTAAATCTATAATTACCATGAACAGTTTTCTTTTTTTCTCCCTGTATTTCTCCACAATCTGTCTCATACAAAATATTGGTTCCATGTTGATTTCCCTGGCATAAACCCAAACTGATTCTTCGATACTGTAACCTCACTCCGTATTCTCTTTTCTATAACCTTCTCCCAAACATTCATACTATGATTCATCAGTCTTATACCTCTATAACTTCCACACTGCTGCAGCCTGCACATCTCCCTTGCCCTCAAATATATTGGTACCAAAATACTTTTCCTCCACAATTCCGGCACTTTCCCGTCTACTAACACCATGTTAAGGAAATTTATTATGTGGGTTTTGTACGATATATATTATATAATATATATATATTTATAAAAAAATAATTCAATATCCTTAACAACAAAAATAATCCTCTATAGCGTATATGTATTTCGGCAGCAATGTTGCCATCATCAACGCATACATGGTAACATTGCTGCCAAAATACGTTAGGTGTAGCAATTTTGCCAAAATACAATAATGTTTTTGTACAATGTAATCTCAGTTTTTACATTTTGTTTTTTTTGTTTTTTCACCTCTCCAAACTTAATTTTTTTAAGAGAAACTTTTAAAACTTAAATAGTAACGTATACATTTATTAAAATTTTTAAATTGAGAATAATGTACTAACATTTTTGACCGGTTGACAACCTGGTTTGAACTAATTTTAAAGTTATATGAGTTTAAAAGTTAGGATGGGAAGAAAAGTGTGCTTAAAAAGTGCGCTCAGATAAAAATATTACTATACTCTACCTTTCCTCCTGCCCTAAACTTGAAACTTCAACAACATCAAAAATAGTTAACCAAAACTAGTTATCGACTAGTCAATATTTTTTAACACGCTTATATTAGCTTCACTTGTATGTATGTATGTATGTTTGTTTGTGTGTAACTATGTAACTAAAAGAAATAGGCAACCGAACGTACATGCGTGTATTCGTTGTTGTTTACCTGAAGTTTTCAAGTAATAGAGACACGTATGTACTAGAATTAAAAAACACGATTTTAAAGCACATCGAACTAAAAAAGTGGAAAATAAATAAAGTTTAAAAAAACTAATAAAGCACATCGAATTAAAAAGTGGAAAATAAAAAAACTATAGTTTAAAAAACTAAAAAACACGCTTAAATAGTAAAATAAACTAAAAAGTAGAAAATAATTTTCAATATAGAAATCAATTAATAAAAAATAAATAGTATTATTGTGAAAAAAGCGTGAGGTGCTACATATATCAGTTCTTGAAAAGCGCCCCACACTTTTTTCACAATAATACTATTTATTTTTTATTAATTGATTTCTATATTGAAAAGTATTTTCTACTTTTTAGTTTATTTTACTATTTAAGCGTGTTTTTTAGTTTTTTTAAACTATATTTTAATACATTATTCTCAATTGAAAAAATTTAATTGCATGTATGTGTTACCATTTAAGTTTCAAAAGTCGCTATCAAAGTTGGGAGGGGGTAAAAACAAACAAAAATGACATTGTATAAAAACATAATGAAAAAAAAATCAATTTTTATTAACCCTATTAGATTTGAGTGGTCCCGGTAAAATGATCACCTTGTATACATAATTTTGTTTATACTAACTGAACGTTGAATTAGCTACAGGAACTCGCCTTAAAATAAGAGCTGTACTTACTACCAATTTTCTTAAGAGATGGATGTACTGATATGAAAAGACACCCATTCTCCTTACCAACTAAGACACTGACATTTACGACAATGGTGTACAACTCACTTGTTTTAATTATTTCGTCTAAGCAGGCTGAAAAAAAATTATAATATCTAAAATATAAAAGCACATTTGATGATGTTAAAGTAATTATTTACTTGGTTAAGCACAGTCTAGTTTATATGGGTTAATGCCGATTTGGGTAAGGGTAAATTATAATAATCGTTTTATAAAATAATATATTTTTAATTAAATAGATTATGAATTGTAATTTTGATTAAGTTAATGACAGAGATTAAGTTAATCAAATTTTAATAACACAAAATATTTTTATAACTTTTACCTCAACGTTGTAAAAAAAAATATAATATTTAGGGAATTTAAAAATATTTCATTTCCTATCATAGGATTTTAAAGTATTTTTACAATAAAATATTTTTTAAATATATTTTTAGTATGTGGGATAAGAAAACTTTACACGCATTTATAACGTGATATTTCATAAATTTACTGACTTAAACAATAAGTGGAAACTAGCATAGTAAATAACTAGTGACATGTTTGCATAGTTTTTACCAACATTTTAAATTACCTTCAGTGATTTGTCCAAAACTGTGGGTAACGAAAAAGACACATGAAATGATCAGCACGAGTATACCTAAAGTCATGTCGTATTTCATTGTATATGTAGGTAAGACTTTACACTAAAAAAATTAAGATAATACACTAAGTTATAAATACAATGAAATTCATGTAGTTTTTTTCATATGTAATCAATACAACGTTTTACTTACACAACTAAGTACGTATTCTTTTTTGAAATTGTGTAAGACTGTAGCGAGGCCAATGAATGTGATATTGTTGAGATGGATGTGTAGAATAATTTAAAGTTGTATAGGTTTATCGTCAGTCAAGGTACATAAAGTAGAATTCTGTGTAAATAAAATTATGAATACCAGAAAAAAACACAAGTGTTTGTGAGTTATGAGCGTTCTAAAACTTTTTATAATTAATTTTATGTAAAAAAAAAACAATTTTAATTGCTTTTGGGGATAAACAATATAAATGAGTTTCATTTTATTATTTTATAATATTTTTTATACATATCATATTATTAGTAATGTCTGTATATATAACACCATGTGTGATTTACAGATATCTTTATATATATATATATATATATATATATATATATATATATTTCTTTTGTCCGTGTGTAAGTATGCAAACTACTCCTAAACGGCTGGACAGATTTTTATAAAATTTTGTTTGCGCGATTGAGTTGATTGGAGAAATGTTTAGATTCACAATTTGATCCGATAGAACATGTTTTTAATTTTTAATTAATTGATTAAAATGATTAATTATGTTTATCAATAGTATCAATAGTTATCAATACATTTCTAAGGTTTTTCATACTACAGGGATACAGTGATCCGATCAGCTGATTGTGTGTCCAATACACGGGCAACGCTGGGTCGGGACAGCTTGTAGTAGTATACCATATTATACCACAGTCTATCATACTTGGTGCGTACTAAAATAGCAAAAACAAAATTTATAACTGTGCAAAACGTATTACTTTCATTTTCTGTGATACGGAAATTATAATATAATTCTGATGTACGATCCCCTAACCGTATACAGTACCAAGTCAAAACCAATTATTATTAAAATATTTTTAACTAGCTGTTATGGCCAAAAAAAAATACTTTTAAGAATTTTCCTGATATCTTAGATATTAAATTTATACTTTGGTTGACAGTGATAAGATCACTTTCATTGGAAACAGTATAATATAATTTTACAGAAAATCTCATTTACCTAAGTCATATTTGATTGCCACTGTGTAAATTTACACACTAATTGGACCAGGTTTGTCCTGGTTGTAGCATTTCTGTTGTATTAAACAGATCATTAACAGATTTGTTATTTAACAGATTTGGTCAAAATAGACTAAATCTTTTCTGTTGATATGCTATCAATCTTGAGTCCGTCACTCTAAAAACCCAAGTAGGGTTACTAAAATACTTGTTGACTGTCACTGATGATGCCTCAATACACTATTAAAACTAATATATTTTGACCGACCGGCCTCTAATCGTCTCACAGTCGGTATCCCAAATAGAATTTCATATCCAAGTTGATTTTTTGATACAATATTAAAATATGTCTGTTTTTACTAAATAGGTAAATAACCAACGTTATAGTTGTGGCGTACATCAAAATTGGCAAATAATTGTTTAGTGACTCTTGTCATTCCCGCGTTATATATACTTGTATAAAACAATATGTTTAAATTATTTATTGTACATATTTTAACTCAAGTGTACTCTTTTTTTTCTCGAAAACCATTAAAATAATTTTAAGAAATGAATCGTAATAAATTGTAAAATCTGTTTCCACTGTTTTAAAAACACCATATGGCTGTGGCAAAAAACAGAAATCGCAAACACCTTTTTTTAAATATAGTTACATTTTGAGTTATATTTTATTTTTTTATTTTTTTTTATTATTCAAAAGCCTCGACTGCAGGGTCATTGGCGTACAGTTTTGGTATACATATATTATATTATAATGAGAAGAATTATAAATACATTAAATATACAATTGTTTTAGATAAGGGAGAGTAGATTTGATTTTTTAGAAATTGAATGATGTTACGTTCTGCCTGAAGTTTGGGGTGAAGTGCTGCCTGGAGGTGATCTGGGATGTTGGATTCCTTTCGGATGATTTCATATTTCATGCATTCAGTGAGGATGTGCTTTACTGACACGGTGGTGTTGCATATATCGCATATTGGTGTTTCCTATTGAATTTTATTGTAAACGCTCTAAACGAAATTATTTATTATAAAATATAAATGCTATTTAAGAATACTCTATTAAATACTAACGAGTAATAAGTGAATAGATTCACATTCCTACACCCTAAATGAGGAGACTATACTTAGCACATGTCCGAAACTCATTCATTGATATTCAGCCGGTAAGGTTGGCTGCCGTTTTGTTACCGTCTCATCTCTAAAATAATATTGTCCATATAAAATCGAACAGCCGCTAAATACAAAAATAATTCGAAACACTATGTTAAAATAGTATGTTCATTTGAACCTAACGTATCAACTTTTTGGGCTCCTTAACAAGACGTGATCTTTTAGAATATAATACAAAACACCTAAAACACTTATTAGCCTCGAACTTACAACGCGCCTGAACTACGAAGTAAGGAAAACTATCTGTAGTTGGCCAAGTTACTAATTGACTTAAAAAGAGCAAGTTTTTTTCTTTTTAACAAGATCCTTTATATTTTTAGGCAACCAGGTAGGGAAACTGGATTTAAAGAACGTTAGCACGGTATAATGAAGTGTGTCGAAAAACGTATTTACGGGGTCTTAATCATATTATAAGCATTGTATAATACGATTGGGATTGAATATACTTTACTGTTTACAATATACTTTTTGGACCTCTCCTATTTAGGTATTGCGAATTTTACCATTTGTTACCATATTATATATAGATAGAGATACTCCCAGGTCTTTAAGGTTATTAAAATGTATTTCATACACATTCAAATCTGCGTATAGATTTAAGGTTTTTGTTATATAAGTAAACATTATTAAATAATGGGTAACATAAATATAAGGAATACAATTTTTTAAACAAATGTTTCGATCAAGTATAATAATAAAACCAGATTTGTTTTCTTCATTAAATAATTCTTAATGTTTGATAAAGTAGTCATAGTAGTGATACAGGTAGAGTTCAGGTCTTTAGATATTTTTATTTGTAACTAAGAGTGGTAAAATTATTCCCAAAAAAACGCTATAATAAAAACCTATACATTTTTTATAATTATTTAAAAAAAAACTAACAAAATTGTGTAAATTCTAATAGTATTAAATGTTTGTAAGAGAATTTGGTGTAAAAACTTTACTAAGTTAACTGCCGTATTAGGGTATCTAAATGATTTGTACTTGTAAACGATTATGGAATTCCGTGTGCATATAACTCATAATGTGCAATAAACTGGGTTATATACAAATACAAAAAAAAAGTAAGCAGTAGGTCTCCAAAAATTGTTCCTTCGGGCCGGATTTGAACCAGCGACCTATGGATATCTATGTACAGTACACTACAGTCCACCGCTCTACCAACTGAGCTACCGAAGGTTCTTTAATTACAATTAATACTAGAGCATTTAAACAAAATATAACAACGGAGTATGAACGTTATTACTTTCACTAGTAATCATAACACATGCAACGACATTCTCCCTTGAGGGTATAATATGACTTTATACATTGGAACAGACTTGAAGAATTATATGGTTTAATGACAAATATTATGTTATTCTATTTTATTTACAAATGTTAGTACACTTTGAGGTTTTAGCACTATGGTATCAATAGTATTCGAGTCAACGCTCTCTAGCCTTACCAATCCCCTTTGGATGCGCCACTGTGATAATACTTTATATTTCTGTCAACAGCGAGTATTTGAAGTTAGATCTTTATCCACTAGATAGCGTTAGACAATGCCAGTGAATTTAGTACAAAATATACAAGATTATAGGCTAGTGACTTGTAAGTTATACATCAGGAATGATTAATTTATATACATATAAAAAGTAGGAACGTACATTATGTTTTAAATACCTACATTTGCTGAACGCTAACAATGGCACATTGGAACGCGGTTTTTTTTAAATACTAAAAGTGATCAATAAAAAACAAATGTAATAAAGGCCAAAATATATGCAAATTTTGACAAACAATTGTATTATTCTGTTCTGACTAGGTATGGCACAACTTATTGACAATTTCATTTACATTAGCTTTAAAAAAATGTATTGTCATCATGTTCATAAAGACACTCAACTCGCGTCAGTTGTACATACTATCTGAAAAATATATCATTTTGGAAGTAAACTTTTTTTATTTCAACGGTTTTGTTACTCGGAAACGCATATCACAAAATAAGAAGGGATTTAGATATTATAACACAAACACATACATACAACGATTACTGCAATTGCATCTATATCGGTTATATTTTATTAGACGTATTTACAACATGTATTTCAAATAGAAACAATACACTCTGCAAAATTCAATTTTTACAATAATAACTATCATTTTAAACGTAATATAATTGTAATAATTAATAACGAGTTATACATGTAAGCGTCTGACTACGTTAAAATGATTTACCATCTAGTCGTTTGTAGGCAAGACAAATTATATAATAAGTTATTATCTATTTCAAGTAGGTACACACAATACGAATCGTGTGCGAGAAACTATGTGTATGGGTATTTATACAATATAATAGGTAAGAATGTATACAAGAAATTCTAGTGTATTTATAGATATATATATTTTTTTGTATTATTATTCTCATGGGCATTATTACAAATAAATAAAATACTTTTTTTTTTATTTAGGTATAAAATCATTTTATTCCGTTTCGATAACACAATATAAAGGACCCGGTGATATAAAAAAAAATTGCATAGGAACTATAAGCTATTAAAATAGAACAAAAAAGACGGTGACGGGTGGCGAATAAACAATAAAACCGACGTCGCAGGGATTGCGTGGGATGTGTAAGATTGTATGTAGATTGAAAACATATTTAGATGTAGTGCAGCCAGCAGAAATAGAAGACATTGCGCATACAATCAAATACAATAATAATAATAGTAATAAAATATAGGGGCTTAGCTATTTATACATAATGGTAACTTGATATTGTGATAAACGCAAAATAACGCCGTCGGAGGTTAGGTGATGAGAGTACGGGTGCTACATATAAATTGTAAATTATACACTAACTCGTATAACTTAATTTAAATCGTGACTTTTTTCCAATATCTCTACCCGTCTATCATCGGTCGTGATAATTATGAGTACAAAATAATTGTATATTTTTATACTATTATAATATATAATATTAATAATATCATATTATGTAAGTTTATAAAACATCGGGTACGCAAAATATCCGAAAATTTAATAATAATAATAATATTAACCTTAAATTACGATTATATCACAGAAGAACAAAAAATAATAATAATAAAAGTAAACAAATTTAACGCAATATAAATTTAATATTATAATATAGTTTTAGCATTAGCGCAGCGGTGGTTGGGGAGGTTGAACCTGTTGAGGGCGATTACCGTTAGCGGAGCCACCGCGGTCCTCTTCTCATACGGGATCACTGTTCCTGCCCACCGAACACATCATCATGGAGTCCTGGGATAGTTCGTCCAGAGATGAGTTCTCGGAGGCTGTAACAAAAAAATAAAAACATTTATTATAAAAAAATATTTAAAATGTTAAACATCTGAATCACTACCGAACTGTAAACCTAATCGATTGTGACTAAAATATAACCAATGGTCAAAGTGGAGGGAGATACGGGTGCCAACCCTTCACTTATTTTAGCTAGTATATTCCAGCCCCCACATATTTTGTTAAAAATTATCCATCCCTCTCGGTTTTTTAAAAATTAATTGTTTTCAAACCAAAATTAAATTGGTAATACAAGTTAAAAATACAACAATTTCATTTTTTTGTAAAACTCAAATTTTAGGATTAACAAGATTAGCCCCGTTCTATCGCCCACATATTTTGATCCACATCGACCACTGATTGCACCTAGTCGATTATAAAAACCTTTACTTTGTCCACTTAAATTATTATAGGTTACTGAAGCATTGCCATTTGATATGTTGACTGATTCAATTGGGTTGATACAAAATCGCATCTCGGCAATGGTAAACTAGTGCAGTTATAGTCAACAATGTTGGCAATATTGCTACATAATAATTGCAAACACTTTACAAAAACTACCGGCGACATAAATATAATAATATATTTGTTTGTTTTACGACTTACCCGTGGTCTGCGGCATGTAAACGGGTGATCCTCGTTGGTGCGAATGGTTAGACGACGGTGGTTGTTGGAACGAGTACGTTAGGTGTAGGTTTATGTGCCTGTTGAAGTGATTTTCCGAACCGTTTTGATGGTGAACTGTGAGATTACGTTTAAAATTAGACATGGTAAACTCAACGCGGAAATATCATAACAGAGACGAGGGTAATTTTTTATTTTTGTTATACTCACGGAGGCCCGACGGTGTGCTTTTCACTTTGCCCGTGTGCAAGTGTTTTTTCTGTCTGGCCCTCGAGTTTTGGAACCAAACCTGCGTGACCCTCTTGCTGAGGCCGGTGATTTGCGCTATCCTCTCTAGGTCCTGGCCGTCCGGGTTGGAGTCCAGCTGGAAGTTAGCCTGCAACACTTGCAACTGTTCTTCGGTGAACGTGGTCCGCACGCGTTTCGCCTTGTTCTTGCTGTGATAGCTTTCGGAATCGCCTCCTTCTGTAACGGTAAACGTGTCGTTTTTACCAGGATGTAGTAAAATGAGTAAGCATATTTTTAGGTGTTATGTACATATTCTATTAAATTAAATGCATGTTTTCGAAAACCCGACGACAGCGTTTTCCGCTACGGCAAACGCTGGCAACCCTCCTTTTGTTGTCGTGACAAAACAACGCGAGACCTTGTACCGTCGACGACGATTGCACAGTTTGTATCCCTCTTGCCGGGGACCGTGATTGACCGGAATGTGCACGTCCGGATAATTACAGACCGAAGAATTTAACCCTTTTCAACGGAAAGCCCGGCCGGACGTTCGAGGGGCCCTCCCCCGTATCGCCCGTTCATTATACATTGTTGTATATGATAGCGCGTGTGATTTGAATAACTGGCCGGCGCCCACCATAATATAGAAATGTACCCGTAGGTAGGTATAATAATATAAGCTACGGTTGTTGTGAAGGCAAGCACGATACGGATGTACTATTATCGTGTAGAAGGTGTAGAATACGGAGTTTGTTCAGTACTGGTCGTAAAATGTTTATTATAATGTTATATACGTGTTGACGCTTTGATCGTTATCGTCTCTTATACCTACTCGATAAGTGATAACTATGCAAATCGCAAACAATATATTATTATTATTAGCGCCTATTCCCTTGCAGCAACCGAGTGGGGTTTTGGGAACAACTGGAAATTGTGTCGCGCCCGAGCAGGCGTCTAAGTTGAATTTGCGCTATTACACTTCACGATAGTACTGGATTAAGCTGTTTGTAAGCACTATTCACTTAGTCAACGCGAGCCCTTACACTTCCGTCCTAACCTTCAGCACATGCCCTCGAAATACAACTAATACATAATAATTGCTCTACCAAAAAAGCAAACGTGTTTTATTAACATTACACTAATATAAAGCAATGTTAATCCAAGTATCACAATAAAAACATAAAATTTAAATAATTTTAACTAATTTATTTAGTTTTAGTATCGAGAAAAACAGAGCACGTTTCAGGTAGGTCATTTACATTAGACCGTTGAGCTGAAAATAAAGATAAATAATCACGGTTACCGGATACTAAAAAAAAACAAAAATAATTAAATTCCTTATAATAAAAAAAATCGTTTAACGACAGTATCGAAAAACAGGTTATTTTTTAAATATTCCCCTTCGCCTCGGTATGTGGAAAAAGGCGTCACAAGCCGTTTGCTATCGTGTTACTTGTACAATATAAATGCTATTTTATATTATTTTTTTGAATTGCAGTTTTATTTAAGTGTAATATTATGTGACGTTATCATAATTATTATTACTTCCGAATAAAATATGTGTTTATCATTTATTATTCACCGATTATTATCAGTGCATAGTCTATCTGTAGGTAGAATAACCGAACTTGTAGGTTTTAGTTTTTTTTTATTACAACGGATAGGTTAGGTTATTATTATTTCTTCCTCAGTGTGGTTTTTCGAAACGGCTCTCACGCAAAATACGCCACGAGAATAGTAATAATTGTATTTTTGAAAAATAATGGATATATTTTTCTCTAATGTTCCACATGGTTATTTCACGACGTACTTTTTCGCGTTTGTTCCTAGTGCAAAAAGAAAACAATCGGTTCGTTAACATTTTTAAAATGGTTCGATTTTATCCGGTCGAATGTTATATATATATACGTTATATGTATATAACATACATGTTATATGTATGTACAATGTATTCCACGACCGAACGCCGCGCTGTCCTCAATATTCTGACACAGAGTTGCTATACCTACCTACAGAACAGCTTTGTATTAACTTAACCTTATCTTTTGCGGGGACAACAATAACAACACTGTTATTATATTACATATTAATTGCGACTTGTGCGTGCTCGGGGTTGCACTGCAAATTGTTTCGACGTACACTATCTTTAATATTCGGGGCGTTCGCCCACAATACACACGCGGGGGCAACTCAAAAGTCAGCTTGTAAACGTCAATCAATTCGAAAATAATAAATAAGGCTTTTGTCGCGTATCGGTCATACGCAACAACACACAATGGTAACCCGTTATTATGTGTACATGTACCGGGAGGGAAACGTGACAAGACGGTGCCGGATGAATCGAATTAGCGCGATTTTCCGGTACGGTACTTGTGTGTGCAGAAAAATCAGCGGTCCGCTCTCATCACCGACCCATTGATGACATCATAGTGGGCGGATGACTGAGAATGCGGTGTGGGGTTAGGTTTTTTTTCTTGCTTTCTTTTTACAATCGTCGGACGACAATGTATTTATATATATATATATATTATTATTATTTGATTATTGCAGGGTGAATTCGATTTAGCGCGGCGATTTCACGGTTGGCAGATAAACAATGAGTCTGTTCCCGGTTTACTTCGGTCGTATCCACCCTATGCGAGCGCTCGTCTCCTCGTTCGGTCCAAACCTAGTTGACCTAATTAAGATAGTAAAGCGTACGACCGGGGGAGTGGTTGCCGAAGGGACAGGGTCTTTGTAGACAGAGGCTTGAGTAAACGGGCGGCGGCGGCGGCGGAAACGACACGCTGATTAGACACACGGCGGAATCAAAGTTTCAAAGGAATCGCGTTACACGTTTGCCAAAGGGTAATCGCGTTAGACGAACGACAGCAGAGTTGGCCGATTGTTTGCGTTAACTCTACTCCGAAGGCTTACATCCCTATATTATATAGTTTATATTGGTGGGCGTTCGGTTTAATTTGAGTATGTTTCTTCAGACCGTTTGCCGGGTCAATCGACGAACAGAGACTGCGGTAATTGACAATAATTATTGTTGTAAACTTACCCGAAGAACTGGTCGTGCCGCCGTCGACGATATCCAAATAATGGGGTTTGCAAAGCACTCGGCCTTCGTGCAGCGCAAACTCCTCGCCGGTGTTTAGTTGTCGGTCGCAAGCGTCGCATCGAAAACACGCCAAATGATAAACGTGGTCTCTAGCTTTGCGCACCCAGTGCGAAGCGGAAATGCCTTTGGAACACTTTGAACACACTGTACCGAAGCTCCTGAAACAATAATCAATCGAATGGTAAAATCGACTCTTGTATGCAACCGTAAAGAAATCCAATCAAGACAAATACAAATTATAGTTTTATACGTCATATTAAATTTGTATACTTTAAGCTACAGGTCTGTATTATTTAATGCCAAATAATAAGTGGTAATAAACACCAAACACCGGTTACCCGTAGACCTACATTGAACTTATTATTATAGAGATCCTTATATTATTATATATTGCGTACAACAGTTATGTCTGAGTGTAAGTTGGTGTTTAGTATGAATAATGATAAGTTTAAAAAACAACACTAGTGTCGTGGTGAAGTATCATGTAACTATTACAATCGAACTAATCACTTTTCGAGTCATACAGTGGTTCATGCACAACGAATAATACCAACGGCGTACTATAATGGGGATGCATATATTTGTGCCTACGCCTAGCCTTGCAGAGTCTATTTCCATATATTTTCCCAACGTGCGAATAATATATATTATTAGTATAATATTGGCCCGATAACCTGGCCACCGCCGTGTTAAATTGAACGGGTAACACCCAGCAGATATGGCGCGTGCATACTAATATAAAGAATTGAGTTTCTGTGTACACAGCATATAATCCGGTTATATTGGCGTAGAGGGGATGCTATACACACATATCACGTGTAACCTGTGAATCGTTCACGCTTTTTTGGAAATGAACCTTTGCAATAGCACTATATATAGCAGAACTACGTATGTATAGAAAAATATCGCACAGACAGAATTCCAATTATTATATTTAATATTACGTATAAGCTGTATCGCTATGATAATACAACATTCACTGTAACCAGTAAACTCTGTCAATAAATGTTGTAAAATTATAGTGGTATAAATTTTTGGATTTAATATCTCGTCTCTCTACGATTATTCAATTTACAATTATTTTATACGCTATTCTGGATAGGTTATAAAAATTTGTTTGAAATCTTGAAACTTGCATGAAACCATTCAGTGAGAATTCCATTATACCAAATGTTAGGCGTGACCGGAAAAGGTGAGTGACAAACCGTCAGTATCGCAATGGCCGTCGAACAATAAGTGTTTTGAAACAAAAAGAACAAAACATTTTTTTTTCAACGACTACTAAAACATTGCATTACGCACTTTGTTTTTCTAATACGACATCATGACTAAGGCTTCGGAAAAAACCACAAGATGTGGTATTTTTTTATACAAATATAGGTACAAAACAATTAAACATTCGAAGGGATAAGCTGACCGATGGAGAGAGAATCAACTGTTTTTTTGTATGTTTTATAACTGTACTGTTGTGATTTTCTAGTTTGCATTATATGTAAATTGTACATTTTTTTGTTTCGATAATTTCACAATGTACTTGTACAAATGTTAAACATATACATATTGATTATTATGCAAATAAATAAATAAAAATAAAACGCGATAACGTAACTACTAACACAGAAGAAAAAAGGATATGTAGGATGCGTTAAGCTTAGGGAACCGAAGGGGAAACGGGAAAGTTTTATACAGTTGGGCGCGTGTGCGGGCGTGCAAAGGCGGTTAATCCAATTGGCCGTCCAATCAGCTCCGGTGCGCAAAGGGGCTTGGCCGGGCCTAGCATAGTAGATAGGGTGAGGTTAGAAGATACTTCTGGAAGAACGCACACACATATATATATGTGAAAGAAAGCGACAGAAAGAAGATCTCAAAATGTAGATATACAAAACTATGTAATATTAAAATACACTATGTCTCTGTCCCGGCGTTTTTTTTCCTTCGGCAAACAAAAATAAAAAGAGTTGAGAATACAATAATACTATAAGATTGTAATGACAATAATATCAAAGAATTAAGATTTACCGTTAAAGCAAGACATGATTTGGACGTCAACAAGAGACTACCAAATTTTCAATATATCAAATAACTAAATAAAAATAAATACAGTTTTTAAACTATCATTAAAAGCAAACAAGTATAATGCATTTTGTAATAATTTTATAAAACATTTTTTCTTAATTTTGTTTTAACTTTGGTTAATTTTACATACTATCTGTACAAGTAGTAACTAGTATAATACAAAATCTTTAGAAAAATAATTGCAATACTAAAAAAAAAAATTACATGGCGCAAAAAAAATATATTTGAACAACTATTAAAGTAGGTAAATCAAATAAAAAAAGTCGAGAGATCTCAAAATTTCAATGAATAGCCAAGATGACTTTTACCTTATTATATTTTTAATCGGTTTCGCATGAGCTACTTCTATGCAGTAGGTTTGGTTTTAACCAAGTGTATTTACCATTGTTATTTTTAATTCTACTTTTGACTTAACAGTTTTAAGGGACCTTTCCAAAAATCATGAAATATGTTTTAGCGTTTTAATAGACATTTTGTAGTGGTTACAACTTACATCATAGTTATTACTTATTATGTTTAGTTTAACATTTTGTAACCGACCGCACGCCAAATGTATCCGCTTAGTAGGTATTTGCTTGTTTTGATTTTGTTTTTACTCCGTTGAATTGTTATTAATAAAAAAAAAACAATGTACAACGGAAACGCTGTAGAGATAAAAATGTAAATTTCGGCCAATAATGTCCCGGTCAATAATAATTATAATAATAAAAATTAACATAGAGCCTAATGAAAACTTCAAAGCTCATTTTCCGAAAGTTGCAAAAAGTGACATTGGCCTTTCTTGCTCCAAGCCACAGATTTAATCTCGAGTAATGCGTTATAATTTTTGGCATCATAGATCGTATATTATATAATGTTAATAAGTTATTATATTTCATGGAAACTCTGGGGGTGAGGGGGCGACGAAGTCCCCCTCCAGTCTGTGACCACTTGATAAATTCATATCCCCCCTCCCAAAAAAACAAAAAATTAAATACGCCACTGCCACGGGTAGCGGGAGGTGCTGCCGTTGCGTCACAGCGGGCGTGCGGACTGGCTTAATGCACTTAAACGTCGACTTGCGCGTCTCGTGAAAAACAATATAATAATCCTACCTACACCCCAGTAACGAATAATAATAATATATACACTCATGTTGTATACATAGGACCCTACACCGTCGAGCGACAATATTAGGTTGTCGGCAAAACGACGTGGTGTACATTTACCGAATAAATGTCATTATGTTATTATATTAGATATTCGCAGAGCCCAGATTTCGACTGTATATAATAGCATTACAATACGCGAACATGCTGCTATACATAAAACGTACAGCAGACCCGAGAGAGAGAAAGAATCGGAGAATCGTGACCGGAATTTATTGTTTTCATCATCTCGTTTTGCGAAGACGGATTCTGTATTTTTTTTCTCCTTTTCTTCAAAAAACAACAACAACAAAACATAAATAATATCGAAACTTTTTATTTTTTAGCCCACAGCAGCTTTTGTAATACACACACACATACAGAGAGCGACAGAGATAGAAACGGCATTGGGTTATTGTATTCGGAACGTGAACTGTGTATTGATTGTGGATGTAAGGTTTCCCCCCTCCTCCGTTTCTTTTTTACTTTTAAATTGAAACTTTACCGACAGCGTTAGTATTTACTTAGTGTACACGCGATGGTCTAGTCTCGGGCCGTGGAAACACAACAAATGATAATGAGTCATATTTTTTGCAAAATGAAACAAACGGATTAACCTAATTTTTTTTCTTTTTAATTTATGCAAAAAACAAATAGTAATTTCTAGAACAGAGTTCTAATGAAGTTTGTTTTAAGTCAAAATGAATTAACCAATATAAACCGACAGTTGTACCTAATATATTTTTCAGAATTCGTAGTTTATAAATCTAACTACAAGGTTTTTTTTTTATTTTTTTATTTTTACACATAATAAACAATCTGTATCAATTATACTAGACACAATACGAATATGTGATAAATGTTATAAAATCATGAAGTTTTGTTGAAAGAAGCCACCCATTGATAACACTTTCTGTTAACTTGCTATTAATTTAATTTAAGAGATCTCGACACCAATTACGCTTCAGACGTCTCGGAGGATTACCAGGTATTGTAGGGGTGGCCAATTTTTTTATTAATGGATTTGGATGATTATTTAGGCGGCTATGGAATCTTTTATAAAATATTTTTGCTTCATCATTTATTGATTTTAATTTTAAGTCGAAATGTAGTGTATGATTTGACACGTAGGGTGGAGCATTCGTTAGTTTTCTAAGTGCAATATTTTGAAAGGCTTGGATTTTCATTATGTTTGACTTTTTTGCATAGCCCCAGAGTTGCAGGCCGTAGGTCCATAGTGGTTTTAAAAATGTTTTATATATAAGAAGTTTTGTTTTAATAGAGGTGTATATATTATTGGTTAATAAGGGTTTGAGCATGCGAAGACGATGATTCAATGCTAATCTTTTAGTTTTGATGTGTTGAGCCCATGTTAATCTTTGATCTAGGGTGAGGCCAAGATATTTGATTTTAGGAGAGTAGGGAATTGGAGTACCATAAAGAAGAACATTAGGACAAGGAGTATGTCTGAGGGTAAAGGTTGTATGAACGGATTTATCCTGGTTAACTTTAAACCGCCATTTTGTAAACCATTTGTCCATAGCTTTAAGGTGAGTTTGTAAATTAATTGACGCTATGATTGGATCTTTATTAATAGATATTAACGCTTTGTCGTCAGCGTAGTCAGCTACTGAAGTGTTGGGAGTAGTAGGCTGGTCAGAAGCAAAGATGTTATAAAGAATTGGAGATAAGATGCCACCTTGAGGCACGCCAGCATTTATGGAAGCTATATCAGAAAGAGCGGATCGGTGGCGAACTTGAAAATGTCGATCCGTTAGGTAGGATTTGATGAGTAGGTAGTAACTACAAGGTGTTTTGAATATTATCATATATTTATTGACAATGTTAAAAAAGAAATTGGAATTTTTAAAACGTATTATGTACATTTTCTTTAAACATTAGTTGATGCTAATTCTTAGTTTTTTGAGCTGGCTTTACAACTCCTTTTTTCATTA